CTCTCTCTCTCTCTCTCTCTCTCTCTCTCTCTCTCTCTCTATATATATATATATATATATATATATGAAACTAAACTTAGAAGACATTTTTTTAATGGAATATCTTCCATCAATTTAAGGGCTATTGATGTTCCAAAAACCCAGCTTGGTAAATATATTTCAGATAATCAGAGACAGTTGACCAGAAAATGTTGCTTAGCTTACTTCACAAAATTTTTTAATCACATAGTCTAAATCAATAATAGCAACTTGATGAAGCTCAAATGGGAAACATGGTCAAATTATGGAACAATTTATTTTAGTGGTCAAACAAGTAGATGGAGATTGATTAAACCAAAGTTGAGTTCATGGAGTCCAGATCATTTTGTGTTGAGGCAGTTTCAGGATACTTAAAAACACTTGGAGAGAGGGCAGCGCATAAAATCAAAAACAGATGTTTTTCCTCTTAGAAACCCAAATAATCCTAACCCCTTTCTCAGCTCCCAGCTTTGCTCAAGACTTCTTGATGTGACAGCTGTTTATATTCCACTCATATGCAATCTAAAAAGACTAAGAAACTCATATTCTTTAACTTTAAAATCTGGTTTCTACTGCCCAACTTCCTCTGCAAATGTGGGTTACAGTCACTTTTAAAATAGTCCTTTTGTTTTCATAAAATCAAAACTTTTATTCCAGATCCTCTATCTCCCCACTCCAATTTGAGATCTAACAAATTATACTTATTATAAATAGTTAGATCTAGGAAAATATGCCAAAAATATTGGCAATGAAATACAACTGACAGAGATACTTCTGGTTAAAATGATTGGGTTAAAAGTATGCATCAGTCACAATAAGAGTAAAGGATTTTTTTTTTTAATGTCATAAAGCAACTAGAGAACAGGAAAGGAGGCAAAGCATGCAATTTTTGGAATCTGGAAAACTGTTGGCGAGTGGTAATTGGCCAAACAGACCTGAGAAATCTAAATCCCAATCCAGAACTGGAGAAAGTGAAGAAGAACTATGGTTAATACAATTTGCATCATGGAACCTTTAAAGGCTAAGGAATTAACAATATCAGTCACTTCAGGAATGGAGCTGCGAGCAGAACTAAAAACAGGACTATTTAAAAAGTTGTTTGAAAAGGAATTAGCCCCATAAATCTCTGTTTCCATTCCATGTGGCTGAATAATTGCATTTTCCTTCATTGGCAGAAGATGGGAGTTTTAATTTCTAGATATGGTTTTTGAAAATGTTTCTGAACTGAGGGACACTAGACATTGTTGAAAGAGGGACACTATATCAAACAAATGGGAATTTAGTTGAAATATACACATTGAATCTTTACTTTCCTAGCTTTCTTCCCCAGTCTGACTCCCAGAATGCTGACATTTAGCCTATATGTTTCAGGAAGTTGGTCAGAACTGCCATTTACAGGTAATCTGACTGCACAAGAGAAGATACTTCAATAAATTACATACCTTGAAATTCATACCCATGTTCCTCAGTCTGTCATCCTATACTGAAGTCTACATAATCTATAAGATCATCAAATATTCTATGAGCATATCTAATGAATAGAAAAAAAGGTGAATTGAAAAGAGATGTGTATCTTCGTTGTTGTTGTCAGGTGCCATCGAGTCAGAACCGACTCATAGCGACCCGATGCACAGCAGAATGAAACAATGTCCTATCCTGGGCCAACCTCACTACCGCTGCCACATTTGAGTTCATCAATGATGCCACCTGGCTAATCCATCTCACTGGAGGTCTTCCTATTTTTCTCCGACCCTCCATCTTACCACAGACCCCTTTCTCCCTGCTAACCGTAGGGCCATATTTGGGAGGAGTTTTACGTTGTGTGCATGTTCAGTAAAGGGCTGTCATTTTGAGGAATTAAGGAATGGGTAGTGGTACATGTCCAACAACTGGCTGGTGAGCACCCTCTTCTTCCTTTCTGCATTGCAGTTCTCACAGACATGAAAGTTTCATTTGAAGTTTGACTCCCACCCCACTGCAATAACTGAACAACAAGACCACATCAGAAAGGTTTGGAAAAGTCTTTAAGGAAATAAACTGGTAGGAAATTTAATGAATTTGAAAGTACTGAGAGGAGATTTACAGAAGTGAGAGAAGAGTTTGGGGATTAGGGATAAGAATATAGGAAGCTAAGAAAATGCATCAAACATTTCATTCTTAACTGTAGAGAAACCCAGAAGTTGTGTATAAAGAGAAATCTATGATGCCCCAGTGGTCAATAGAGTTCACACAATTAGGTAATATGAACACTGCATATTGCTCTACCTCTATTACAATACTTACATACTAGGAAGAAGGAAGGCCAGGAAGTAAGCAGATGGGTGTGGTTGGGGTGAGGCTGTGTGAGATAAAGCCACATATTTCCTATGAAGGTGTTTAAAAAAAAAAAAAAAAAAAAAAAAGGCCTCAAACTGAAAAAAATCAAGAAAGAGCTTTATAAACATGTTTTATAAAGATATGCAGTACATACAAGAAGGAACAGTTATACAAAGGAGAAAGAAGGTGCTACTGGGAAACAGGAAATTGTGGCAGAAGGTGGAAGTGGTGGAGGTCAGAGTAAGGAGGTATGTGGGTGACTTACACTCTGTGAAGACAGTTTAATTCTTTATTTTCATGGATACATTTTTAAAAAGAAAAGAGAACTACTAAAATAATCACAAAAATACATGGAGGACACCTATGAATATTGTCCAATGGGCTTTTGCAATGCCTTTCTCTGCCAGTGGTCTCCAACACATGATCCTTATATCTACAAAGAGGGTTATCTACATATTAACTTCTGCTTAAGATCTTATGGTGATTTCTGAATATGTTCAAAATAATACTTTGACTGAAAAGCACCATGTCCTTTATTTTAATCTTTCCTTTGCAACACCACTCCAAAGAAATTTAAAATAACAGCCAGTTTGATTTCATCAATAATTATTAAGTGGTCCTGTTGTGGTACTGTGGGATAAAGCACTGGACCACATGGTCTGTTAGAATCACAAGTTTGGTGGTTCAAACTCACCAGTTATTCCTTGGAAACCTTATACAGGGTCACTATGGTCTGAATCAACCTAACAGCACTTAACAACAACAACAATCTCGGGAGGAACCTGTGTCTTAGTTATCTAGCGCTGCTATAACAGAAATAGCACAAGTGGAAGGTTTTAACAAACAGAAACTTAGTCTTTCACAGTTTCTGAGATTAGAATTCAAGTCAGTCCTAAATCAGGGCAGCAGCTATGAGAGGTCTTTCTCTTTGCCAGCTCTAGGGGAAGATCTTTGTCACTTTTCAACATGTATGGGCCCAGTGTTCCTTGGATATCTCCATGTGTCTTGGCATCAATCTTCCCCTTGTTCTAGGAGATTTTCAGCACAGGGACCCCAGGGCTAAAGGACGTACTCAGCTCCTGGTTCATCTTTCTTGGTGGTACTGAAGTCCCTCTTTCTCTGCGTGTGTCTCTCACCTTTTATCTCCTTCAGAAAAATATGTGATGCAGGCCATACCCCAGGGAAACTCCTCTTACATTGGACCAGGTCTGTGATGTGAGTAAGGGTATTGCATCCCACTCTAAGTCCCTTACCTCAGATTAGGGCTGATCATATCATCAGAGTTAATTACATCATTGTATAGAGCATAGTGGTTACGAATCAAGCTGTGAATCACGAGGTTAGCAGTTCGAAACTACCAGCCATTCCAAGGAAGAAAGATGAGGCTTTCTGCTCCTGTAAAGATTTACAGCCTCAGAAACCCTGTACAGGGTCGCTATGAGTCGGAACCAACTCCACGGTACATAACAACAACAACAACAACATAGCTACTATAGTGCATCATTCATAACTGCCAAACCACTGAAAATCATGGCTCAGCCTTTGAGGGGACATAATCCAATTTATGACAATCTGAAATCAAATAATTACCATAATTCAATGAAATGTGTACAAAGATTAACATATGTACTTACCAGAGAAATGGCACAGGGTGGGGAGTGGTAATTTGCCTAGAAGCTGCCTCATTGACAAAGTAAGGAGTGATTAGAGAAGGTTTCAAAGAAGGTGAGACCAGAAGTTTTTGAAAGAAGGCATTTATACTAAGTATACTAGCAGGGGAAGAACATACAGGAAGAAGAAACAGCATGGGGAAGACATAGAGGCATGAGCACTGTATTCAGGAGCCAAATTCCTTCAGCATTGTCTCAGCACTGATGTAAGGGCTGGTCACAGAAGACCTTATTTGTCATTTTTAGACAATGGAGAGACAGTCAAGAACATGAGGATACTGTGGCACTGTGGAATAAAGCACTGGACCACAAGATGGTTGTAAAACCCATGTGGGAGCCATGTGTGACATCCCCTAGCTTCACAAAGGGGAAAGAGAATCAAATTCAAAATCAGCTCCAGGCTGATGTCTATGAAACCAAGGTCAGATATACTTCCACCTACAATCTTCTCTACCCTATTCTGACACCAACCATTCCTCCCCCAGCACTCTCTGCTTCACATCTGGGTTCCATAATCCATTGCAATGGCCACACAGAGCTCATAAAAAGACTCTTGATTGTGGGGTTTATTAGGGAAGTGAAAAGGGTCAAAACCAGGACACAGCAGGTCTCTCCAGTCAGGAATGCCTCATTTTTGTCTTCTGTCTCTCAGCAATGTAACCTGCGTGGGCAAGTGACACAAATCTCTTTTAGCCAGGCTGTGAATGCCCGAAGGGCACATTCTGCAAGCCAGTGTCCTGCCTATAAGCACTGAGCTTTACTCAATCCACAGGCCTAGAGCTGGAAGCTATTCTGTCTCTCCATGCCATCACCTCTGCTGTTGTCTCTGCTATTGTCTCTGCTGTCGCCTCTTGATGTCTCATGCTCCACTCATGCTCTTCCTTCTTGATGGCCCTGGAATCTTCCATTTCTGCTTCTGAGATGGCTCCTTTGAAGCATAGGCAGAGGGTTGAAACTAACCAATCTCCAGCCTTACAGTCTTATATTCCTTATTTTTATGGACCCATCTAATCGCTTGGTGGGAATTAAGACGATGTTAGATAGAAAAGCTGTATCAAGTAAATTTAAGGCACCACAGTCAGATTGAACCACAAGGTCAGCAGTTCAAACTTACCAGCTGCTCCTTGGAGACCCCATTTAGGGTTGCTATGAGTTGGAACCTACTCGATGGCACTGAATAACCATAATAATCAAATATAGATGGATAATTCTGGTGAAGTTTCTTTTATAAACTTTATATTACAAAAACTATATAATCAGAGAAAAATAAAGACAATTGTATAGCGAACCACAGTAGACCTAGATTTAACAATTGTTAATGTTTTAAAATCATCTTTGTGAGGGGAAATTTCAAGAATAAATAGAAGTAGAGCTCATAATATAAGTAAATTTCAACAATTGTCAATTCATTGTCAGTCTTATCTACACTCCAACATACTTCTCTCCATTCCCAGATTATTTTGAGACATATCCCAAACACCATATTATTTAATCTGTAAATATTTAGATATGTATCTCAAAAAGAAAAAGCTATTTTAAAAACATTGTTGTTGTTGTTGTTGTTGTTAAGTGCCATCGAGTCGGTTCCGACCCATAGCGACCCTGTACAGGGTTTCCAGGGGTGTAAATCTTTATGGGAGTAGAAAACCTCATCTTTCTCCCGTGGAGCGGCTGGTAGTTTCGAACCGCTGACCGATTCGTAACCACTACGCTACCAGAGCTCCTTAGCTCCCCCAAAAAACAAACAAACAACAACAAAAAAAACATAGTCCAAATAACACCATCACATTTCAGAAGTAACAATAATCCTTTAATATCACCAAATAGCCAGTCATTCTCCTGCTTTCCTTATAAGTGTGTTATCTGTTTGAACTGGAACTCAAGTAAGTCCATATACTGCATCAGTTGAAATGTTTAAGTGTCTTTTATACTATAGGTTTGATATTTCTCTGTATCTCTGACTTTCTTTTTTAATTTATATATTATATAAATTGGGTTATATGTCC